TCCTCCTCCACGTTCCTCTTCTATTTCTCATTCTCTGCTCCCTGCCTCCCTCCCCCTCCTGCTGGTGGGTGCGGGCGTCCACCTCGGCCGTGGTCGCCTCAGACAAAGTATAAAACAATACGATAGCAATTTATCCAGACGTCCACTTCCGGCAAGCGGGCGAGGACGGACCCCGGGGGCTTTAATCCTGGGTTTTAAAATACTGTAATGCACCACCGGCCATGCCAGGGTCGGGGCTTAACAATGGTCCTGTACGATAACTTTGTCCGCTGTCTGGTGCTAAGTTAAGGTGGAGTTTCTTACACACACACACGCAAGAAATTCCTGAATTATGTAATAAAATGTAATGACTCTTTGGCGCTGGTGGTGGGGGAGAGGTAGGAGGAGTAGGAGGGTGTAGTGGTGAGGGAGAGGTAGGAGGAATAGGAGGGTGTAGTGGTGAGGGAGAGGGAGGGCGTGTGGTAGGAGTAGGAGGTGGTGGAGAGGGAGGGTGTGAGGTAGGAGGTGGGAGTGTGTTGGTGGTAATGGTCTGGGTTGCTCCCATCTGGCGCCACTGAGCAAATGGTTGGTGGTGAGGTGGTGGTTACCCTGTGGCTCTGTCTTGTCACTCCTCGACCACACACACACACACACATACACACATGTACGTGTATTATTAAGAACAAATCAACCGCTGTATTTTATTTTTATTTTTTTACACATCGAGCCATTTTCTTTAATTTTACGTATGGGTGAAATCACAGTCTTGCACCAGCAGGAGAAACACGTGCACACTGACTCTCCTAAACCAGGAAAATGGTCCAGCAAGGTCCCTTTAAGTCGAGACCCTGAGGCCATGAGTCATTAAGTAAGGTTATAGTTGAGATTTTGAGTCCTTAAGTTACTTTTATGGGGGTTCGATCCTTAATGACTTACAGCAGTAGAGCCTAAGTGTAATTCTGATGTTAATTTCTCACACTACGAGGATAATATCTACCTGTAATATATTTTGTCTACTAACCTCTATGTTTACTAACTTCTGTGTATTGTTAATGCTCATTTGTTTACTTTTTTGCTGAATACAAACAGTTAAATGCCTTTATACCTTTCATTTACAAGGTCTAATTATTATAGGAACCTTTGTGAAATATGTTTTGCAAAGTCAGTTACATTCTTAAATCTTTACTTCAGAGAGATATTCATCATTCTAAACCCAGTGAATCCGGGGTCTTGATGTATGAGGTAGGCATGACACGCACCAAATTCGTGAAATAACGACGAGGGAAAAAAAACCCAGCAAGACTTGATATTTTCAGTCACGCACGTCCACCATGAAGTCGTTTTCTCACTTCCGGGCGTCGAACTGGCCACTACCGGAAGTGTCTTAACCGCCACGTCGCCTCCCTCACTCCCTCCCTCCCTTACTTTACCTTCGTCTTCTCTCCCTCGTTCCCTCTACCTTCGTCTCCCCTCCCTGTACGTTATTTTCCCCCTCTCTGCCCTATTTCCTTCCTTATCTGCCTCTTTTATCCTTCCCTCCCTCCCTCTCGAGTTCTTTTCCTACCTTCTTCCGTCCTTATCAACTCCCTCTCTCTTCCCTACCCTTTTCCTTATCACCCTCCTTTTGCCTCTTTTTCCCTCCCTCCCTTCTTCCCTGCCTCCCTCCCTCCTTTCCTACCTCTCTCTCCCTACCTCCCTTACTCTCTCCCTAACCACTCCTGGCAGCCATCTTCCCTCTTGCTCTTAACATTACATTGGGAAAGTTAATTCTTACACCCACCATTCAATAAAGGACCGTGACTTCTATCAAGGTGTTGTGGACCACGGAATGTCTCGTTATTGCAGGGTATTTTTATTATTACTTGTATTGTTATTATCATTATTTTTATTATCATCATTCTTGTGTCTATTATTATTATTATTATTATTATTGGTGGTGGTGGTGTTATCGGTAGATCTTGTGTGGTTTGGCGGGAAAAGATTCTTTTTCTCAGACAATATTTCTTTTCTTCTCTCGCCAGTCATGTGTGTTGTGGTCGCCACCGTCCTGGCCACAGCTGTTTCTGGCCAAGCTATCAGTCAGCGTGTTTTGTACGGGAGGAGGTGGGCCAACACATGTACCAGAGAGAGTGTGTGAGAGTGTTGGCCTTTTGAGGACAATGGTTTGAACTGTTTTATCGTCAAGGAGAGTTAAACCACTACTCTCAAAGGGGAAAGCCATCGTCCACAAAGGGTCAACTCATTGTCCTTAAAACTTAAACCTCCACCCACAAAGGTATAAAACTATAATCCTTAAAAGGTTAAACCATCGTCTTAAAGTTAATAACCCATTACCCTGTCAAATCATCGACATGAGAGGTTTAAGTACAAGTAACACAGCACACACAGATTATTATCATTCACGGGGTGTAGTGTGTGCCCTCACGGTGGACGGCCTCGGCAGGGGGACCTCGTGGGAAACTGGCCACGAGGGAAGCCTGTGTAGTGTGACATGCGTGCCTGTGATGACTTGGCCTGGCCCCTAGGTTATCAGTAGACAGTGGTGCTCCGAGTGACCCCCTCCCCAGCTCCCCGTTGTGTTCTGGGGGCAGCGTCAGTGAATACAGTTCTTTTGTGAGGTCACGGGGTATGTTATGTTAACCTCAGTATCGCCTAGGTTAAATTTTTCTCCCCAATAAGTCTTCAGCTGTGTTTTCTCGTCTCTTGTCACCCTTAACACAGTTCCTAGGTTTTGAAACTTTGGTGGATAATAGATATCAAACTACTATTGGGATTTAAGTCATTGTACTCAAAAGATTAAGATATCTTGCTCTCTGGGGTAATTTATTCTACTCAAAGGTTGGCATCGTACTCAAGGGGTAAAATAAAATTAGAGGCATAATATTTACAAACTGCTACTGATTAAAACGGAATATTGATCACCTGTGGTTTACTCGACCTCAGTCAACCATTACTTTACTAAAAAAATAAATTGAAACATTATTGAGCTAGAAAAATCTAAAGTGAGCAATAACAATAATGTTGACATGACTGGAGCTTTTGAGCGCTGCAGCTCTCTTCAAGGCATGAGTTGCTTGTTCATTGTGAAGGTCAGTTGTAGTTGTGTGGGGGTGACAGAATATATGTGGCGGTGGTAGTGGTTGGTGAGGGTGATGGTGGTTGTTAGCTGTAGGTGGTGTGGGCGATGGTGGTGGTGATGATGATGCAGTCACTAGAGTCCTAACCTGTGATATATGTTCAGTATATTTGTGTGTATTTCTGTTCATCCCTCCGTCACTCCTCCATCTCACTAACACATCACTCTTACCCAGTGCTTCATCTTGACTGTAGATGGTATCGTGAACCCCCCAAAAAATAACTTCCGTCTCCAGCTCCCGGACCGCCCGTTGAAGAACTCGACCATCTTGCGGTGAGCTCCTCTTTCTCGTAAGTCGATAGTCAGAGTGTCGAGAAGACCCAAGTAGCTCCCGCTCCTCCCGCCCTCCCCCTACAGCGACTAGGGGGATTAAGGCTTCTTCCTGAGCTGTAATTCACGGGTTCTCCCCCCCCCCCCTCCTCTCAGCTTACGGATTTGTAGGGTGTTGTACATGGTATCCCTGCCACTATACCTCGTGGTGCTGATATATTTACCCGTAGCTGTGAGCATGAACACGTCCTGAGGGTGTCACGTGGCTGTAAGGCAAGTGGTACTCAGTCTTAATCCCAACACAGTTATTGGAATTTAGTCTCATAAAGGTTAGGTCCCATCAGGATTGAACCCCAGCAGGATTGGGTCCCATTATGATTTGCACCTATTAGGATTAGGGAGCATTACGATTGGGACTCATTAAGAATAGGATACATTACGACGGGAATCTTGTCCAATTGGTTAAGTTAGATTAAGTTGAGGACTATTCCAAACACTGATGTGCCAGCTCAGATCCCTTCGTATAACGCTTTCAAAGTTTGTCTTACGCATAACTTGTACAGTACTTAATTTACCGTTCAACAAGGATAAATATAAAACTAAATTTTAATCATAAAAAAACATTAGTTCTCGCCAGTGTCTGACTCCTTATTGACACATCCTACCATTAGATTATTTTTCAATGATATCGGTTTAGAAAATTGATATCCCATGAAGATTGGGCACCCTAATTTATTTCACCTTTAGATTAGCCAAACCTAACGAGCACAATGTCTAGTGTGAACTGCGAACCAAGGAAGCTTCGACTGTGACTGTGTATATTTATCTATCTACGCTTCTCTTCCAGTTTTGTGTGGAGTAGGTCAATGGATACAGAAACCTGAGTGAGAGAGTAGATAACAGTGAGAGTGGCGGAAGACAATTGTAGAGAGCGATAGTAAAGTGCTAACACAAGTAAACAATAGCCACACGTTACTGGTTTATACCCACAACCTACATACTATATATAGCCCACAAAGTGAACCTTGAAAGATCTACGGTATATTTATTCACAACGCTTCATAACCGCTCAGGTTGTGTACCAAGTAGCTAGACTCGTCAGCTCGAACATATTTACCGGTACTTAGATAGTGTAAGTTGTATCATAATGAAACTTAAGTATTTGGTTCTTACTTTCTCCTCACATTATCCTTGACCGAATATTTTTTTTTCACATGAGTCAGGTGTACAGTGCACGATCCGCTCAGGCCAAGCAGTAGTTTTGTACGAGTTTATATTTCCTGACAGACGCTGATGAACCGGCCTCTCCCGAGGCACACTGAACACCACCACTTTCCGGCACGAACACCACGTACACGGATGACCCCTTCTCTGGGTTGTGCTTCGTGGCCCTGAATTTAAACTTAACAGTACGTAAGGTGAGGGCGAGTGGGAGGAATTTCAAGTTGTGTTGTTGAATAAAGCTATCGATTAAAACCAGTGGAGCGTGGCTAAGCTGGTCTGGAGAATATGTGCTGCGGGTGTGTGGAGCCGCAGCCTGGGTACTAGCAGCTCCCGGCCTTGCTCGAGCAGTGGCTGAGGTAGGCAGGCAGACGTGGGACGCCGGGCGGCCGCGCTCAAACTGACCTCACTGTCGGCCGCTAATCCCACCTCAAGACACCGCCACACCACCACTCACTCCGAGTCACTCGCCCGCCAGTTCATCTTGAGGCGTGGTGGAGGGAGGTCGTACTGCTCGCAGACTCCCATTTTCCTGGCTGGTGGATGCTGTGTCTCGTGGTGTATAGTGTTGTAGGGGAGACTGGCCAGTCACAAACATGAAGTTCACTTACTGAACGTCTCTCTAATTTCACGTGGATGTGTCGTCTGAAAACCAATCGTAAATGGATAACTTGAGTGAGGATATATGACTGCTTGGTGTCAGTGTCAACCTCGTGGAAGGCATGAGACAGTCGTAGTGTTGGTGGGCGGGGAGTGTTGTGTTGTGAGTGAGTAGCTGTGGGGCAGGGGCAAAGGGTTCAAACCTTCAGAGCCTTGAACATCACACACCAACGCTGAAGGAGACCCACACTACCACGGGGTGAGTTATACTTCCCACACAATAATCTTCCTTCCATTATCTCATGCCAAGTAACCCGAGACACTGTAACAAATTTTTATAAAAGCTTTGTGCATTAACTTGTCTTCCCTGATATAAGATTAAGATCACATATTTAGTTAGTCACACTATACTTTAACTACCTTTAAGACGTTTCCATTATAGTTAAGGTAAAAAGAGCATATTCAATTCCTTGTTACATCTACAATTGCAAATGTACGAATCTTTGAGAACCCGGACCCAGGGAAGTTAAGAACCAAACATTGTTTTGGGTGGAATCGGGAATCAAAGGTAGAATAAATAGTGGGTAGTGATGGCTGTGTTAGGTGTTGTCATTGATAATGGGTAATGATGACAGGTGCTAGATGTTGTCATTGATGATGGCAGTGTTAGGTGTTGTCATTGATGATGGCAGTGTTAGGTGTTGTCATTGATGATGGCAGTGTTAGTTGTTGTCATTGATGATGGCAGTGTTAGTTGTCATTGATGATGGCAGTGTTAGTTGTTGTCATTGATGATGGCAGTGTTAGGTGTTGTCATTGATGATGGCAGTGTTAGGTGTTGTCATTGATGATGGCAGTGTTAGGTGTTGTCATTGATGATGGCAGTGTTAGGTGTTGTCATTGATGATGGCAGTGTTAGGTGTTGTCATTGATGATGGCAGTGTTAGGTGTTGTCATTGATGATGGCAGTGTTAGGTGTTGTCATGATGAGTGATGGCATGGATGTTGTCATTGATGGTGGGGAGTTATGGCTGGTGTTGTCATTGATGGTGGGGAGTTATGGCTGGTGTTGTCATTGATGGTGAACCTCTGTAACCTACTCCGTGTGTGTGTGTCCGTCCAGGTTTTAAGTCAATAAGATTTACCGGGAATCTGTGGGTTTGTGTGGACAGGCCACGATGCGTGGCCGCTTCACCTCTCAGTCACAGGTTCTTGTACCCACCCGCGGCGGGCATCACCATTGTGCTCAGGCCTGGCCACGGTGCTCAGGCCTGGCCACGGTGCTCAGACCTGGCCACGGTGCTCAGACCTGGCCACGATGCTCAGACCTGGCCACGGTGCTCAGACCTGACCACGATGCGTAATATTCTATGTTTATTTGGATCACCTGAAGATTAACTCCTCTCTGGGTTATTTCACCTGATTAATAAACACCCTAATGGCTAGTAAAATGGTGTAAAGTAATTGTGTCTAGTTAAGGTAAAGTCTCGGTGAAAATTTGGTGATATATTTTTGTTTAGTATTGTACTTTTATGCTTTAGCTTATGTCAAAACACTAACATTATTACATCTATATTGAAGAGAAACATTCATCGTAGGAACCTCTAGCCTTGGTGGTGTGTCACAAGTACGAGAATGGTGTCACTTTCCAGTAATCGTTCACGTTTCACCTGACCTCTGACGCATAAAACGCTATCAGAATCGTCGCCATATTCTCGATTTTTTTTAATGACTGTATGACTAGCCGGAAAAAACTGGGACACTACTGAAATATTAACGGGATGATCAAAAACTTAAATGTACAGTTAATGACAATATTCCTTGGACATTTGAGGTAATATTTAGCGTCTATTTGTGATTAGTTTACAACACTCCCTCACCTACATGACCTTCAGGTAGATGTCAGGTATTGTCCAAAGTGTTCAGGGAATTTTGTCTGCTGCTTTACACACGGGATTTAATATATTTTTTTGTATTTCGATATTAAAAAATCTAATTGTCGGTTGTGGAGGAAGACGTGTGGTGGTGACTGATAAAGAGAAGGAAACAGCTGTTGTGGAAGACATTTACAATTTACACTTTTTATACAGAGGACCAGTTTCATGGGGTCGATTTTCCGGATAAGGGCAACGAGTTTCCGGTAGAGGATGAGTTGTCGAGTGGGATATTTTTTAAGGGTATTCTGTTACCAAACGATGCCTGGGTCTGAGCCTGTGATCGGGACAACAATAATACTGGTGGGTAACTGTCCCATAACGGCCATAATCGGGATTATCGAAAGGTCGCACGTTTAAATTTTCTCGTGACCTGGAATTTTAAGAACCCCTTTGAGAAAAAATAAAGTCCAAAATTACATGAAGAAATTAAGTTTTTAGTAATATATTTTTTATTTATACTTTGCTCCAAATAGGGAACGATTTTTTACTGAAGGAACATTTGTACATTCGAGCTCGGGAATAAATTGCCTGAGGAGAGAAGACTACTCCTGTCTCGGAGATTCATTGGTCTATAGGGTAAGTTAAACCTTGGGACCAATGAAACGCCGGAATAAAGAGTGGTGGTCGCCGGAGTGTTACGTTAGTTGCCCCGCGCTACGGATCCGCCAGTAATGAGTCTCCCGGAGTCATAGTGTGAGGGTTGGTACACTAGGCTCGTGTGTGTCCGTACTGCTCTTGTTTATCACCGGGAAGAGATTACGTCATGCTATGGGGAACGATTTAGAGGTTTGGTGTGGGTAACAAACAGGTGAGGGGTGGTGGTGGTGAGCCTGTGTGAGTGCTACTGTTACAGCCCGCACTTTTTACAGGTCGCTTATAGTTTTTTCCTAACATCTGTCATGCCCCAGCGCCTCCCTCCCCCCCTTACTGCCTCGACCCTTCCCCTCCCCCCTTACTGCCTCGACCCCTCCCCCACGTGTTGCCACAACCTCGTTATAGCGGCGCTGCTCATCACACGACTGAGTGAAGTGTAACAGGGGGAAGTATAGTCAAGCGGCGCCTGCACCTCCCCAGTCATTACACTCGGATCACTGTTGCCATCGCGGCGGCGCCATGAAGGACGCCTCGCCCTCCACACCTCAGACGTCATCAGCCGCAGGAATGGTGTTTAACTACAGTCTACTGCATCAGGAATTTCTAACATTTTGGCTTGATGGTCCGTACATGCCAGGTATCATCGCTGAAGGACCACTGGCTGTGTGACGCCCACTGTACTGTGAGGGTTAGTTAGGTGGACCTCGTGGCTATATAACACTTGCTGGCCAGTCACGGACACACCAAACTCTACGGACCAACTCATCCCCAGTTCACTATTCGGTACTATTAGTTCTACTAATTATTGGGATGTATGTTTGTCTACTAATCATGATGTATGTTTGATTACCACAATAAAGCGAATGGCAGCTCAGGAAATCAAACCTCCATTAAAAAGATGAACATTATAAAACAAACACCGCTCGAATCTTACCATTACCCTCTCAGGTTGTGAGTAACACTGTAAGGTTTTAGTTAGAACGTAAACTTCACTTAAAACTTTTTTATTATTATGTTTTATGTCTTTGCTGCCAAGGATCTTTTTATTACTCAGTTTTGAAGGTTAGCGCAGGATTAGGGGTTATTTTCCCGCTCCAGCATTCGTCAGTTGTGTACTGTAGGTGTTGTGTGCGCCTCGTTGAGCACCCCCTACCCCCTTCAGGACAACTTCCTCTGTGGAAGTAGGTCACGTAATCCTCTCGTCCATGATACTGGGTGACGAATGTGTGTGTTTGTAGACCTGTGTTTGTTTATGAACCTAGTGTGTGTATGTGTGGACCCGTGTACGTAAAACTAGTACCTGTACTTTGTTTGTGTGTGTGTAGCCCCGTGTAGGTAAGACTAGTGTGTGTAGGTAGACAAGTGTACATTTGATCTTGATTTTGTACACTATTTTGAGTAACCAGTTCTACAGCGTCTTGACAATTTTAGTACTACAGGGTATTAAATTTCCTCTCGTAGGCCTAGTGTCACTATACTACAGTTACACACACACACACACACTATACATACATACTGCCATATGTACCTACTACCTAGCCGTGCCTCCATGTCCGGGGTGGGGGGGGGGGGAGTGCCAGGTAGGCGGGTTACCTTGACCTACTCTGGCCCTCCACGCTTGGCTCTGGTGCCCCCACACGACTACCTGACACTAAGAATTGTTGGCATCACACACACAAACACACACACGTAAGATTTCTAAAACCCGTGTCATTACATTAACCTGTAACCTGTTCGAGCGTGAAGACCACACCTTCCAGACTGTTTACACACCTGCCTGTCCTTCCCCCACACCTGTGCCGTCCTGCAGAAGCTCCTCTCCATTCTTAATTCTTTGCTGTTGTGTCTTTTCGAAGAGTCTTGGTTGATTTGGGTATATTATTAAGGGGTAGATGAAGCCCCTGGCGCCATGTTTGGGTAGAGTTCAGGATTCCTCTTCTCCTCTCTCGTTTAAACAAAGAATAGGGTATGTGTGGGATATTGTGTGTATGTGTTTGCATGTGACTGGAGTAAATGTATGTTTATGGCTGTATACGTGAAGTGTTATTTGTATCTTTGTATGGTAGTGGTGTTAATGAATGTGTATATTTTGCTGTGTTACTGTATTGCTTTGTACGTTGCGCATGTACGTAATGTGAACGCTACAGGGTTACGTGCGGCACATGTAGTTACTGTACCTCCTCTTAGTGCAAGTTGAGTGCGCTTTCGTGTTCGTGCATATGACAAGTTGCGGCAGGTGAACAACCACCAAGCTGAGGTGAAACAGGATTATGACTCACTCTGTGTGTGTGTGGGGGGGGGGGTTCTTGAGACTTCACCTCAACCTGAAGCCTCTAATTAACTGGCGATTCTGAAATGATCTTTATTGTACGAGTTTATTTTTTCCCGATTGTAACACGTGAAGATGAGGTGGGCCAGGTATTGCTCTGGGCCATGTGAGAAGGACGTAGTGGTAGGCCAGGTGTCCCTCTGGGCCAGATGAGGAAGATGGAATAGGCCAGGTAAGGAGGACGAAGCAGGCCCGGTGTCCCTCTCTGGGCCAGGTGAGGAGGACGGCTGGGGTACCGTAATTACTACCTGATTATCATGTTGTCATCTCGTCTCAGGACACGACTTACCTGCGTCCTGGACTCTCTCTTTCTTTCTCGTAGTGTCTGTGTGGTGGCAATGTGTGTATGCAGTATGATTTTGTTTGTGTTTCTGTATACATGTGGTGTGTATACTGTAT